GTCAGGATACTCCTATAAAATATATACGGGTTAAAGACCACACATAAAAGTAGCGTAGGAGGGGAAAGTTAAGTCATAGAATAATTTAAGGAATACCTCTTTGGTAGGTAGTTTAATGAAAGCACCAGCAAGTTTTCTGCCATCAGTATCTGTGGCATCACGGACCATAGTGTACAACCTCCACATTTGTTGTTGATGAGGAGGAAGCCTGGAACAAAAAGACAGTATCCGACAATCTGTTAGGAAATAACCAAATCAACGTTTGGCCCCATGTCACATTTAACCTTTGGGAACTCAAGTCGTCAAGGAATTTTTTCGAGAGTCATTGCTTTCGCATTACTAAAAAACAAAACTGACAGAAGGAGTTATGCAGATAGTTTCAAAAAGTTACATTTACTACAACAGATTTCCTCATGTAGAGCGATTCATAAGCTTGCCAGCCGCGCAGCTGCTCTTAATGACCGTTTGATTACTGGAGCCGACTACCACAGAATAGAACAGGACAGTTGCAATTTAAAAATAGCCAAAATCATCTACTTTAGGCATAATTAGGTCAAAAGGCATCTTTTAACTCTCAATACTATCTTTTCAACAAAAACGAAGTTGCGGAACAGATAATTCAAAAGGAAGGATCTCACCGTTAGAAAGCTAATGTTTTCTGAATTAGCATTACAAGAAATATAAGAAAAGTAATACACGGGAAGAAAAACAGAAATCAAAAATGAAGATACAACTGTATACCTCGCAATCATGTCCTCAAATTTCCTGTCTACTTTTGGTGTTTTCCCTTTTGAGGGATGAGGTGGAGTAAGCACGGTGTTCCTAAACATTTTAGAGTCAATAAATAAACGAAAGTCTGTTCGAGCACCAACAAAACTCCGGATTTCTAAGAAGATAGCTTGTAGTGAAACACAAACAGTTATCAGAAATAGATGAGAAGTTTCCAAGATGACAAAGCATTGTGCAAAAATGGAGGTGCATGCAGAAGAAGTAACAACACACG